ATGACCTATATGATATAATAAAAATTACATTTATTTAATTTTCAGAAAATGAAACTGAATGGGGTCATTAGCATTTGTTGATTAGATTTCATACTATATTAAATAATTTGGAGAAGCAGGCAGACATAAACCAGATGATACGGGAATTTTCATTTAAGAGAACAAAAGCCACAAACATCACATATAGATGAAAGTGCTTACACAGTTTAGGGAAATATCCTGGATTGTAATGGAAAACAAACCGAAAAAGTTATTATAGAAGGTCTTGAAACTTACAGAACAGGATGTATCTAGTAGAGGTATAAATAATAGTATCAGGTCATATTTCAGACCTGGAATTGATGCCCAAATTTTTATAGAACTGTGCCCTAAACTCAGTATTTAATCAACTATACGTGATATATCTTTACATTTCTGAAATATGTAGAAATGGATAAAACTCATCAGTTACCTGACATAGTATCCTCACTGGTCACGCTGCTGTCAGTCTGAAAGCCTCCCCTTCATCCTCAATGTGCCGCCCTCACTAGGTCACCTCCTTCTGAGTGTCCATGCTCTCTCCTTGCCCATGAGCACAGGAGAGGAGAGGAGGCCTGCAGGATAGTCCAAGGGAGCCCATGGCAACCGCAAAACTTACTTGAATGCTAGTGTTTTATCTCAACAGTTCATCATTTGTTACATTTTGTTTTCCAGCCTATCTGTGTTAATCTTAACTTAAAAATGTTTTAAATGACTTACCAGAAATAAAATTGATGTCAAGAAGAGTGCACCAAATGATATTCTTGGACACACCTCAGGATACGTTTTCTTATGAAGAGACATCAGTTTATAAAATAAAGTCAAAACACCATAGCCTCACAGACCTTCATGAAAACCCCTCCGGAGTGAAGGGATTCTTTTTGTGCAGCACAGGGTCTCTCCAGAAGGGGAATAACCCATCTAGAGTTCCTTCAGGGTGCAAATGAAACTACTAAAGATGAGACACCAGTTCTATTTAGATTCCTTTTTAGGTCTTGATTAAATCTGAAGTGGGCTCCACCACTAGGATAATAAACATGAGAAGCCTGAAGGCCACACTGGAAAGCTTTTTTCAGTTCATCAAAGGAGTCCGAAATGCACACACTTGGTAAGATAGCTTGTAATCTCCTCCATATGTATTATCTCTGTCAGTTTCTCTTAGTGATTTATTCAACCAATAAATATATATGGAGCACACATGTGCCAGGTACTATTTTAGGCACCGTGTATCGAACAGTAAATAAGATAGACAAGGGTCCTGTTCTCATGGAACTTTTCGTGACACAGGAAGGGGACAGAAAAAAAACAAATGAAGAAAATAAATAAGTGCCGTGCACAGAATTAAAACCAAGTGGTGCGATAGAAGAGACAGTGGAGGTTAGTACATGGGAACTATCCATCCATAGGATGCCGGGAAAGGCCAGCTCACAGGAGGGGAGGAAAAAAAAGTTAATTGGAAAAAAAAAGTTAATTTTATATAAAAAAGGATTCATTCCGTAATCAGTCTTGAGAAGTAAACAGAAGAAGGGAACGCAGGAGGTGGCTTGCTGTTAAAAAAGAAGAGGACTCCGGGCTGTACTGGGTTTCCCGGCTGGGAATGGCAACCAGCTCAGAGTATCGTCTTTTATCAGCCCTTTCTAAGGCGACTGTAAAGTAATTAGGCAGATTGTTTATCAAGTTAAAAGAAGTAATATGTGTATATACATAATTTTCCTTCCCATGGCCTTTTGGTTAGAGCTGCACGCTTTTTCAGAGGATGCTGTCCTCGTTTAAAATAGCTTTGGACCTTTGGATCTCTCTTTTGGAATTTGCTTCCCTGAGGTGTTTACTAGCTATGAGCAAAATAGTTTTCTTTTCATTTTATTCTCCTTTTACTCCTTACCTCCAGGCTTTATTGAGTTCCTCTGTTATCTCAGTGTCCTTTTTTTCCCTGCTCCTGAGGGTCCCTGAGGACTGCTGTGATCCCAGCCTGGAGCTAAGAAATGGTGTTAAGAGGACAGATAAGAGTTTTGTGTATCAACCTGGATCCAATCAGGAGAGAGAAACCACATAGCAACTTAAACAAAGAAAGTGTAATATAATATAAATAATTATAATATAAATTATAATAGGAGATTGGAGTAACAAGGGAATGATTAGTAAGAAATAAAAAGCTGTTTGTGTGTGTGTGTGTGTGTGTGTGTGTGTGTGTGTGTGTGTGTGTGTGTAAAGCAGCATATGTAAGGAGCAGCCCTACCCTTAGAGCTGACATTGAGCCCAAGGGAGAGGCCTCCAGGCCTTGTTGGGGAAGGCATGGCTCTAGCTCACCTAATGGTGGAGAAGTCACTGGTGCCCTGTTGGAGGATCTTCCTGGAGCTGTCTCTGGAACTTTCCAGAAATCCACCCTCTAGGGAGTTGGTGAAGCTGTTCCTGGGAGGGTTCTCATCAGAGGCACTCTGCTACAGAACTGCCTGGGGTCAAGGGGTTGTGGGGCTGGGAAAACTGCTAGTCACTGGGTCCTGTTAACACCACACACTGCAGGAGCTGACAGTGGGGAGAGGCCCCACGCTCTGTAAGAACAGCTGACCGGAGCCGGGAAGAACACCTCTTCTTCCTGCACTGTCTCTTCAGACCTTTCCTGACAAAGCTTAACATTGCACCAGCTGGCAAAGGGAAAATAAAGGGCACAGATTCATTTTCACAGAGCAAGCAGTTAAGGGTGAACCTGGAGCTGGAAAGCAGTAAGTCGATAACTGGCATTGTAGGTAAGACATGCAGCTCAAGGAGTCAAACTAACCTCAGTGTGTGTGTGAGCTACCTCCCTGCTAAAAGTGAAATTACCGACAGTGTGCTTAATGGAAACTGATAATGTGCAGGTATTCATTACATCATGGCTCCCAAAGAGAAAAATAAGTAACAATATGAGAGAGAGAAAGATAGCGAGCCAGAGAGAGAGAGAGAGAGAGAGAGAGAGAGAGAGAGAGAGAGAGAGAGAGAGAGATTGATTTCGTTCTCATGGCATACTGGTTTAGTACAAGGGTGTCAAAACAGCTTTCATGGGAAAATTTCTCCTTTTTTCTGAGATTATATTCATTTAATTGTCTGGGTTTTATATATGTAGTGAAATAGTGGTTATAATGAAGGATAGTTTTTGTTGTGGCTGGTTTTTTTGCCATTAACCCTGTATTAGTACTCTCCAGTTTTGAAAACACACTGATCTATGAAGTTCAAATCTGGAAACTATGCACCCAACTAAGAATTTGTAAATATAAATTTCCTTTTGTAAAATTTACAAAAAGTTTGTATTTAAAAACTGAAAAAATAGCTGTCACATTATGTTCAACAACAACATATAAACTTATAAACAGAACTTAAATAACAGCTAAAGCCATGCAATTTACATTAGTTGTCTCTCCACTTAAATTAACCAGTAATAGGTCTTATTATCACTGTTTTTCAGACGACAAAGTTCAGGGTTAAATATTCTTTCCAAGGCCCTATTGCTAGTAAATATTGGGCTGCTGAAAAAGTCATGAAGTATTTTTTCTACGTTTTCGTTACAAAAATGCGTCATGACTTTTCCGACAACCCAATAGCAGAGCCAATATTTAAATAGATGTCTGGCTGCCTCCAAAAACCTCCCAGTGTCTAGGGAAAGACAAAAACTGAATTGAGTTCAAAAATGGAATTGTCAAAACAAATCAAAAGACCAATAGACCATACGTGTGTGTGTGTGTGTGTAAATCATATAGATAAATGATATATAGATAGATATCATATGTATTTATAATTCCTAGAGAAAGGAAATGTAAAAAGGGACTTCATAACTTGTTTTCAAAACTTAAGAAATATCATGTATGTAAAACTCAGTAACTAGTTTGCATTTGCAAATATAAGTGTAGTAGATTTTAAAAAGTAAACCAATACAAGTAGAAAATGTGTTTCTGTGATGTTAATATACATTGGTGTGTCAGGAAGAAGTATGTTGGTTGCAGATTTGACTGCAGAGGCTTAATCAAATACAGATTTATTGTGGAACATGAAGTCTACAAATGGGTGGTTGCTGAGATTGTTTGAGTAGCTCAGCATTAGGGCCAACCTCAGCATGACTCCGTTGGACCTCCTCTCACGGTTATGTAAATGCTATAGTTTCTGCCATCGGATCCCCATACAACCAAGAAGGAGACTGGAGTGTGCTAGCTATATATGACTCATTTTATCAGCTTTTTTGAAGCAACCCCAGCTCACTTTGGTTTTATTCTCACTGGCCAGTGCTGGGGCAAATCTCCTTACCCCTGGTTAACATGGGAATTTGGGAAAGCCAGGAATAACTTTGTCATATTGTGTTAGACTAAGTCAGCCAAACTCTGGCCCTGGGACCAACTCAGGCTGCCCCTGTTGTTGTAAATAAGTTTTAATGGAACACAGCCATGACCATCTATTTACACATTGTCCATGACTTTCATGATACAGTGGCAAAGTTGAGTATTTGTGATAGGGACCATATGGCCTGCAAAGCCTAAAATTATTTACTATTTGGTCTTTTACCACAAATGTTTCCTGATCCCTGGCTTAGATCAATCATGATCCATCACCTCTGGTTGACCACATGGACCTTGAGGGATAACTAGGCTTCCATTAAGCAAGGAAGGGGGAGGAAAGGGGATATTGGAAAAGAACCAACAGTTAGGTCACCTAGCCCAACTAATTATATACAAAGCCAAAAAGTCATAATGCGTTTTCTGTTTTAAGTTATCAGGTCACATTCAACATATAACTTTTTTGCTTCTTCACTTCCTCATAAGCCAATTAAGAAAATTAAGAAAGGTAGAAATTTTGCAAATATATGGAATTAAATGATTGACAATGTTGTCATATATCATGAATTGGGGAAGATTATCCCTAATTTACTGACTTATTCAGCACTATATAAGATATTGTCAGACTAAGTTTTAGATACATATTTTACTGATTGACACTTCTTTTTTAACTATTTATTTTAGGTTCTTGCATACACTGAGGGACTCCATGGAAAATGGATGTTCAGCGAGATACGAGCTGTATTTTCAAGACGTTATCTTCTCCAAAACACTGCTTTGGAAGTATTTATGGCAAACAGAAGTAAGTCTCCTTAAATATTTGGAAAGAAAACGTGCTCATGCTTAAATATTATTCTTACATGGTGTGATTTGGTCTTGATGTTTTCCTGCTGTATTTCTCTCTTTGTTATACTCTCAATAAAACAAAAATTAAAAAGCATTATTTGGTTAAAAATGTTAATTCTAGATTTTTCATGGATAAAGTTATATGGAAAGCTAATTTTTCCATGAAGATTCATTATCTGTACAAATAAATTATAACAGGCACAGAAAATGATTTCTGAAATTGATGGTTAGCTTTTCTGTGGTTTTCTAAATCATGTTTTTTCTTCTTATCACAGCCTCTGTTATGTTTAATTTCCCTGATCAAGCAACAGTAAAAAAAGTTGTCTATAGCTTGCCTCGTGTTGGAGTAGGGACCAGCTATGGTTTGCCACAAGCCAGGTAATTATATTACACATTACGTATTATACAATATCTGTGGGTTTTTTAAACATTTCAATTTTAATAAGACAAATATAAATAGTGTTTTACCATTATAATTATTTTGAAAACCAAGGAATTTTCTTTCTCTGCAGGTCATTTGTAGAGAAAGAGGTTATGAAAACCGCTCTTTTAAGAATGACAGAATATTTAGGGCATAATTTTATTTAACACACATAATTGAGAAAGTAGCAGAGTTGATTGAATATCATAGCTCGCATACAATTAAGACATTTTACTTGCAATATTACAAGAAACATACCAAAAGCCTCATGGTGTCTGTGACTCATTGTCGTGCAATAGTAAATAAATTGTTCTTATAAATGCTTCTTCATTAAAGCAATACAACCCTTAGAGTTTATTGAGATTAATAGTCATTAATTATGGTGTGGTTTTCACCATTTCCTAGATCTTTCATCTTGGTATTTTAAAAGCTTCATTTTGAAATCTTACTGATTGAAAGATACTAGTGTAAGTAAAAAACATAGTCGGTAAATGTATCACTAATATCGATTAGTCAGTTTTTGGCTCCAAGTAATGGAATGCCTGACTAAATGTGGCTTAAAAGATAGAGTTCTTACCTTTTTTGTTTTTAATGTAAAAAACTTGGAGTTGCCAGTACTGGCTTGGAGGTTTGGTGATGTCAGGACTCTCAGTTGTCCTCATGTTCACAAAATAACTACTATTAGTAGCTCCAGACAATACATCTTCATACAACTGACTGAAAGTAGGAAAACAACACAAATGATTTCTCCTCGAGCACCTATGTTTTAGGAAAAAATATGTTTCTCACTTCCAGTCAAGATGGCAGAGGAGGTAAACATCATGCTTGCTCCTTCTCACGACCACATTAAAATCACAACTAAACTACAGAACAACCATCACTGAGAATCGCCTGTGCCTAGCTGTACACAAGTCCTATAAGTAAGGAGGTATAGAAGAAGCCCTGTCGAGACTAGTAGGGAAAGAGATGCAGAACGTACTGGTCCCTGTACACACGTGTGTAGTTTAAAAATCACGAGGGATATCTCGGCAGCGGAGGTCCCCCCTGAGGAACAAGGGGTCCCAGCCCTGACCCGGCTCCCAAGTCCAGGGTTTCAGTGCCAGGGAGAGAAGTCCCCATAACTCCTGGCTGTGAAAATCAGCGGAGATTGTGGCTGAGTGAGATGGAGGGTGGCTGGAGACCCAGGTGCTCCTCTTAAAGGGCCCACTCATGAATTTACATGCTGATGGACTCACTTGCTCTGAGCCCCAGCACTGGGGCAGCAGCTCAAAAGGCACCAGGGACATAGGTGGAGGAAATGGATTATCTGGCTGTAGGGCAAAGGCTATAGGGGCAGCTGTCTCCCAGACAGAAGTGCTGACAAAAGCCATTATTTCTTTGTTGAGCCCTCCCAGCCTGCATGCAGATGCAGGCAGGCACCATATCTGAGTCTCCATTAACCTGGCTAACACTACTCACCCCACCCTGGTGATTCCCTGAGACCCTGACCTACTGGACTTGCGGGCCCACCCAAGCCACTTCCAGTGGCTTTTCCATACAAACCGCTTGTCTTGGGTCATGCTGTGGACTTCCCTGAAGTCTCTCAAAGGTTCACAAGCCCCAAGCACACAACATCTAGCCTCAACATGCCCCATACCTCTTGCTGAGCAGCCCCAAGCCTGGCACTAGTGACAGCCAGCCTCAGTTTATAGCTTAGACTCTCCAAGTCACCTCCAAGTCTGTGCAGGTGGTGACACCTTTGGATTGCTTTGTGGCTCATTCGACATGGCCCTAGGTGGGGCCCAGGCTGTGGCTGAACTTGGCATGTGGCAGGGCCCCTCCCAGGAGGCTCTGGGCTGGCACACCCAGTGCCCACCTTCAGACCAAGCTGGAGCACCACCTGGCTACCTCCACAGCAGATGACATACCCAAAGGGCAGACTGAGCAGGCACCAGAGTTCTGCTAAGGTGAATCCTGCTCCATAAGGTCAGCCCCTACACAATAAGTCTTCCACTGTAGTCATGGCCAGTCCTTACAATCAATCAACCTGAGAGTCAGTCCCTTCCACTGACCTGCAAAGAGCAACCAAAGCTCAACTACAACAGAAGGGCACACACAACTCACACAAGGGACACACCTGGAGCACCCAGCTCAGGTGACCAGGGAGACAGTGCCACTGGGCCCCACAGGACACCTATTACATAAGGCTATCCTACTAAGACTAGGAGGCATAGCAGCTCTACTGAATACATAGAAACAAACACAGGGAGGCAGCCAAAATGAGGAGACAAAGAAACATGTCCCAACTGAAAAACAGAAAATGCATTAAACAAAATGGAAACAAGAAATCTACCAGATGCAGAGTTTAAAACACTGGTTGTATAGATGCTCAATGATTTCAGTAAGAACTTCAACAAAGAGATAGGCAACATAAAAATGGAGATAGAAAACATAAAAAAAGAACCTATCAGAAATAAAGAGCACAATAACTGAAATAAAGAATACATTACAGGGAATCAATAGTAGATTAGATGAAGCAGAGAATCAAATCAGTAGTTTCAAAGATCAGGTAGCAGTAAACCCAATCAGAACAGCAAAAAGAAAAAAAATCCAAAAAAATGAGGATAGTTTAAGGGGCCTCTGGGACAACAGCAAGCATATCAACATTTGCATCACAGGAGTACCAGAAGGAGAAGAGAGAGAGCAAGGAATTGAAAACCTATTTGAAGAAATAATGATACAAAACTTCCCTAAACTGGCAAAATAAGTAGACATACAAGCCCAGGAAGCACAGAGAATCCCAAACAAGATGAATCCAAAGAGGTCCGCACCAAGACATATCATAATTAAAATGCGAAAGTTTAAAGACAGAGAGAATCTTAAAAGCTACAAGAGAAAAACAAATAGTTACTTACAAGGGCGCTCCCATAAGATCTCAGCTTATTTCTCAAAAGAAACTTTGCAGGCCAGAAGGGATTGGCAAGAAATATTCAAAGTGATGAAAAGTTAGGACCTACAACCAAGATTACTCTACTCAGCAAAGCTATCCTTATAATCAAAAGACAGATAAAAAGCTTCCCAGACAAGAAAAAGCTAGGAGTTCATCATCACCAAACCAGTATTACAAGAAATGTTAAAGGGACTTCTTTAAGAAGAAGAAGAAGGAAAAAAAAAAGATAAAAAATATGAATAATAAAATGGCAATGGCTACATATCTGTCAACAATCACTTTAAATGTAAATGGATTAAATGCTCCAGTCAAAAGATATAGGGTAGTTGCATAAAGTAAACAAGACCCTCACACATGCTGCCTACCAGAGTCTCACTTCAGATTGAAAAACATATAGAGACTGAAAGTAAAGGGACGCAAAAAGATATTTCATGTAAATGGAAATGAAACAAAAAAGCCTTGGGTAGCAATACTTATACCAGACAAAACAGACTTTAAAACAAAGGCTAGGGCCGGCCAAGTGGCACATTCATTAAAAGTTGTCTTGGGATGCCAGTTCTGAGCAGCAGGGCCCTGATTCAAATCCCACATATGGGCCAGTGACGCTGCGCCCTCTACAGCTAAGATAGTGAACAACAGCTCAACCTGGAGCTGGGCTGCTGTGAGTCGCCGGCAAAGGCACAGGCTGCAGCCCCTGCTGCAGTGGCTGCCATGAGCTACCATAAGTGGCTGGCAGCCAGCGTGAGTGGCCGGCAGCCGGCATGAGCTGCTGTGAGTGGCCGTCCAATGGCCGGTGAGCTACTGCCTCACCCGGGAAGAGTGCAAGGATAATACCAACATGAGCCAGTGAACCGATGCCCACCACAACTAGACTGAAGAACAAAAAGGACAGCAACTTGTCTGTTCCCCTTCCCCAAATCCCCAGCGCTGTTTCCCTCCCCCAATTCCCCAATAAAATCTTAAAAAAAAAAGGCTATAACAAAAGACAAAGAAGGACCAGTGATCCCATTTCTGAGTATTTATTCAAAGAAACCCAAAACACTATTGAAAAGGGACATGTACATCTGTATGTTCATTCATATGTTCATTGCAGCATTATTTACCATAGCCAAGATATGGAGGCAACCTCACGTCCACCATTGAAGGGATGGATAAAGAGATGGTACATATATACAATGGACTATCACTTAGCTGTAAAAAAGAATGAAATGTTGACATCTGCAACAACATGGATGGACCTAGAGGGTATTATGCTGAGTGGAGTAAGTCAGACAGAGAAAGATAAATTCCATATGATTTCACTTATATGTGGAATCTAAAAACAAAATAAATGAACAAACAAAACAGAAACAAACTCGTAGATACAGAAAACATTTTGAGCATTGCCAGATGGGATGAGGGTTAGGGAGATGGGTGAAAAAGGGAAGGGATTAAGAAGTACAAATTGGCAGTAACAAAGTAGTCATGGGGATGTAAAGTACAGCATATAGGAATATTGCAATAACTATGTATAGTGTCAGATGGGTACTAGATTTATTGGGGTGATAACCTCATAAGTTATTGCGTGTCTAATTACTATGCTGTACATGTGAAACTAATATATTGTATGTCAACTGTAATTGATAAAAAATTATTAAAACACACACAAAAATGAATATATTTCTCAGAAGCCTCCAGCAATCTTTATCTCAGGTCCCTTTGGCCAGAATGGGGTCACTTTCCCATCCCTAAAACAATCACTGTCAAAGGTGAATGAGTTTACTAGAGTAGCCCAGTCATTGCCTAGAATTCAGAGAAAAACATATACCTCTGAATTCCTTGCTCCCTCCTACCTGAACAAAGCAAGGCGTCTGTTGGCAAGGGAGAGATACCAGCTTTGGGTAGACAGGCAGCAGTGTTTTCCACATACATCATTATGTCCCTGGGAATTATTTCAGAGCACTGCATGGATGGAACAGAGCATGAATCTCTGTCTATCTTCCCTTAAGTGGGATACAGACATTTAAAAGACAGGGACTGTGTCTTATTTATCTGTTAATCTGCAGGACCTAGCATAGTGCCTAATTGCAGAGGTGCTTTTTAAGTGCTACTCAGCTGGAATTACCTTGCATGGCAGTGTATCTATTCTCTTTAAGCTCACAGTGTAAGAGCAATTTCCTGACATGTATGTACATGCTCAGGAGATTTTTCTAGTAGACTGACAAGATTAAATTAAGACATTAGTCGATAATGAAATACTTATATAAAATACAGGTCAAAGGAAAAAATGCATTTAGTCTATTAAAAAAAGAAAAAATGAAGTTAGTTTTGCAAGACTTGTTCTTGTTGAATCTAAGCTGACTCCTGGTAATCACTACTTCCTTTCCCAACTGCTTACAGACTGTTTGTTTAATCATCAATTCAAGAATTTTTTCCGGGAATTGACATTAAGAACTCACAAATTGGTCTAACATTTTCCTTTTTAAAAATAATCTGCCTTCTGGCATCTTTCTCAGTGACCATGGTTCATCAAAGATTACCAGTAGAGGTTTCTCAATGACATGTGTGATTTCCTTCAAAACTCTTGGGCTTGTCTGTACCTGAATTCATTGAAAACAACCAGAAGCTCCTTTACTATCTTTCTTACCTACTATGAATATCATTTCCTCTTAAACCACATTCAATCTCTCTTTGACTTTTGGAAAATCATTATTCTTGATAGAAAACTGGGAACGAAGTAGGTGTTCAGTAAATTTTTTTCTACCGTTACTTCATACAACCATTTTATCTTAAAATACTTTTTCATTGTTTTTGGTTTCCCTACCAAAGACTCAACTCATTCTTAGTTTCTGAATAATCTTTTTAGAAGTTCGGTTTTGTATAGCAGATGGGGGTTGAAGGAACACTGCATCTTGGTTTAGACCTGTTACGTACATGCTGAATAACAGTAACAGAGCCGGTACTTAGTAGGAACTCACTACATACTAGTTAAACAGATGCACAGCACTAAGTAAGAAGAACGCCACTCTCATCTGCTATAACATGAGGGCAGTGTCTTTATAGAGATGCCTTGAGATCATAAAGTGAAGGCAGTTTGGAAGCTGTAAACATATATACACTAAACACATATATGCATGCATACACACACAGATATGGATAGGTAGGCAGGTAAGTGGGTAGGTGATTAGGTAAATAAATATACACACATACTTTCATAAACTTATGTCTGTAAGATCTTATGACACTAAGCAAATTGTCCAAGGATAGGATGATGTCTGGCTCCTACAATGAGAAGCCCTCCAGGCTGAGTGTATCTTGGTAGAACCACTAAGGGTATTCTTGGCTTTTCTTCCTTGACATTGAACTTTGTCAGTTTAAGCAGAGTTTATCAAACACTAGGAAACGTACTGTAAAAAGCTAAACCCATGAAAGACTATAAACAAACAAAAAAATGATCAAATTCAAAGGCAGGTATACTGCAAGAAGAATTAACTTCATAAACCATTTAGGCTACTTCTTGGGCAAACGCACCAAAGAGATCGCTTTAGAGATCAGATTGTTGCTTAATGAACAAAGATTTAGAACAAAGGGAAATTTTCACATTTTCTTCTTCATATGACTGAGTTATTTAATTTTTGAGGATCACATCTCATGTCAGCCATCTTTTCTGTTAGGGTAGATGACCAGTAATTCAAATCATTCCGTGTGCACTTAGTGAGACCCCATTATGCCAAGCACTGCTAAATGCTAAGGATACAACAGTAAGTAAAATACAGTTCAGTCCCTCTAGGTGAGTTTATAAGGAGAAAGATAGAAACAATAAACAGGAAAAATGGATCATTTTCCTGAACTCAAAAATAATCCTTTTTTCTAAATTCATTTCCTATGCCCACATTTTCCTTCACTATTACATGCTCTAAGAATGACATGATAACTTTCTCCCAGGATTCCTTTTATTTTCACCTATTAGGGTTTGTTTACACCAGTCAGGTTTTGTTTGGTTTTTGGTTTTGGGGGTGTTTTTGGTGATAACAATTATTTTCAGACCAGCAATTTTCTTCTTAAATTGTCTAGGTTCAAAATTGCTTTTAGCAGACTGAGCATACTGCAGGTAAGCATTTTAGTGAGATGAGTAAGAATATGATTACGATAGTAACACAATGCAAATTGGAGTAAGCATATGGTTAGAATAGTAGCACAATGAAAATTGGGCTAAGCATAGTTTAATCATTAGTTGATAATTCAGAAAACATTGTAGCGTGTTGCCATGACAAAGTAAGAATCAGGGCAAAAGTTTACAATATAAAGTAGTTATGTGAGTGGAAGTGGACCTGGGAAAATTTTGAATGTTGATGCCACTATGAATCAAAATGTAGACACCCTTTAGGTACCCCTATTGAAAATCATATTATAAATTAATTGAAAAATGTGCCAAATTATAGAATTAAAATATGAAATACATATACCATGTACCATTGTAATTAAGTGAATCATTAGACACATGGTTCTTTTGGAGTCAATAGGCCCTAATCTTTACTATATATAGCTAGGAAATTTCTTCAAAAATATTAATATGTAACCAGGCTACTACAATTTATTAAGTTAATATTTTAAACATTGAGTTACACGTAACTATTCTTAAAATTCTTAATTCGTATTTGCATTTGAGATAACGAATTCCTTCCCATCCTTCTCTCCCTCCTTTCCTATAACTGATGTATATTTAGCTCCTACTATTATGATACAACGCCTATGAAGCTCCCACATGAACAGAAATATTTGATAATAATGCATGAATGACAAAAATAGTCTGAAGTCCACAGTTCCCAAACTGAGCACCGAGTCACAGTGAACATGAAGGGGATTTGGTATTTTTTAGGGAAACACAGCCCCATCTGTCACCCACCACACAAATTCGTAGGCCAAGGTAGTTCTAAGTTTCAACAGTGCGTTCAGCATTGAGTTCTCAACATTTCAGCCCTATGAAACTGGTTTTGGGGGGTCACTGTGGTGAAAACAAAAAACAAGTGCTGCATGAAAATTAATGGGGAACAGGAAATACAGATGGTAGCATCAGATAGGATTCCAGTTTTAAGAAGCTGTGCAGTGCCCAACAGGTGCACACATCCCTTTAGTAAGTAATTGTAGTTATTAAAGAAGGAAATAAAAATATGAATGTTATATTTTCAAACATCTATGCTGTTAAGACTTAAGCATTTCTTAAGCTATTTAGACGTAACTACTTAATAAACAGAACTGTTAGGGGTTTCTCTTGGGCTGGGGGCGCCATGAAAAAATTCCTGAGACAGTAAGGGAGGCATGAATTGAAAGAATTTGGGAACCTCTGTCTTAAGTGGTGATCATTTTAGAAACTCATTACTTTTACAAATACAGCCAGCTTTCATTTTTTAGATAAACGCATTGAACCTCCAAAAGTTCATAATGTATACAAATTATCCTGATTTACTCCCTGACGCTTTTCCTATATCTCTTCCTCTGAATTCATACATGTTCAAAGTTCCCAGTTGTTTGTTTATTGCATCATAAGAAGTATATGTATTGTATGGGTAGAGGCTGTGCACGGTTGCACACTGTGTGTGGAGGTAGATGTAAAATGTTTATTTCCACTGCTGTTATATAAAGTTTAAGTCAAATACTTATAGCTGGTACCTACCTACCTATCTAGCTTCTTAGCATGGAGTACTTTTGCTGTATTCTTTAAAAGCTACTTTGGCTTATTTTGAGTATAGTTTCACCTTTTTTGTTCTTGTTAACTAATAAAATACCCATTTGTAGCCATATTATTCAAATAGGTGTTTTCATATTGGTTTATCCTGAGTAACTAAATATCTTCACTATAATAGAATATTCAACATTGCTACTATCTACAATGAAACTAAGAAGGATAAACCATAGATTATTTTTAATTGAATGATCTCAAACCAGTATATTAGTTAATATTAAATTTTTTAAACTCATCAGTTAAAAGAGACTACATTCGTTATGGTTTGCTTAATTGCTAGGAGGATATCCCTGGCCACCCCTCGACAACTTTATAAATCTTCCAACATGACTCAACGTTGGCAAAGAAGGGAAATTTCAAACTTCGAATATTTGATGTTTCTGAATACTATAGCAGGTAAGACGTCTCATTCTTTACTCTTATCATGTGTTTATGTTCATCAAAATCAAGGGTAATGTGACTTGATAGAATACGCTTTCCTCTTCGGAATTCAAATACAGCATTAGACTAAATATTGAAGTACTCACGTTAAATGTTATCAGAAACTGTACAAGCTAGTCCCGAGGTTTTCGATGCATTTATTGTTGAAGAGGCTTTTCCTTGCACTCCTTCTGCCATTTTCTTTGCTGACAGCTTTGTCTGAAGGTTTATTAGAGTCAACAAACCATTGCCAGAGAGTGTCTGGAAATAATAATGGGAAAATGTAATTTCACTACTTTGTCATTCTCAGCAATAGCAGCCAGACAGAAGAATAACAACGGGATTCTGCCTAGTACAGATGTCACCTGGATTATAGCATGATTGGGTTACAGCAATTTTTCCTTAAAATCTTCAAATAAAAATATAAAATCAGATTACATTTCTAAATGATGAGTAACTGCCGTCGTCCTCGGCAGTACCATGCTTGTAAATTAAAGGAAGCAGTGGCCTGTTTTTCTGCTGAATCAGTGGTTGTCAGTGGTTAAACATGCCTGTGAGATTTAAGTACCTCTTTTTTTTATCCCAAGTTAAGCTCCAAAAGCTCTTATTCATGTTGAATTACAGAGTTTACTTTTGTAAATCAGGTGCTACAAAAATTTTTTTTACAATCAGATGAATTTAAAATAAGTACATAAATACATATGCTTATTTATTATTATTATTATTATTATTATTATTCTGTTATGAAGGACTGCTCTGAACTATGAATTTAGAGCCATGTTCTCTGAATCATTGCTTGGAAAGGATTACTGTGTAATATTATTCCTTGTCATATATGTGTGAATATGGATGCTATAGGTATACATTAAATATGGATGACAGATATGTATTAAATAGGCAAAATAACTCAATTTGTCAAAAAAAGGTATAAAAAAGTTGTTTGAAATGTTTTTGCATTTTAATCATTTAATACATATTATAATGTGTTTGCTAGCAGGATACTAGCGGTACAACCAGAGAACTATTTTATTACACATTAAATTTTACTATTTATCTTATATACACATCTCCATTGTATACATATATTTTCTATATCTTCATGATATTTTGTATATATATATTTATATATCACGATACATAGTGTATTATATGTATCTTACACCTATTTACTAATTCAAAGATACTATTTAATTAGCAGATATTAATCACATATTAGACAGAACTTAAATAGCTAGTATAAAACTTAGTTTCATTAGCATACTTAAGTAAACAATATGAAGTAGTAAAAAGAGCATAAGTTCCAGGCCAAAGGGAAGTGGGATAGAATCTCAGACCTGACAATTTTTGTGTAGCAGAACATAGGTGCAGTTTCAAGATTTTACTCTATCTTGCACTTCTAACCTTTCAGTAGCCATGTTTAATATGTTGCTATCTGTTGTAATAACTGATATGTTTGGTCTCATAGCATCTGGTTTTATACTATTTTTTTTAATGTTTTCTTGCTCTTCATGTTATTTTGTTTTTCTTTGGTCATATAATAAATTTTTGCCCTTTTTTCTGGTGACTTAGAATGTAGATATCTTGTTATTAATTCTGCTAGAGGTATGTTTAAATTTTTTAAAACCCTATAAAATAGATCTTACTTTTGAACTCAAAAATGAACCAACAACTCAATTTATTCCTCATTCATTGCTTATTTTTTTGTCAATATAATTGACTCCCCAGAATCTATATTGTTATTACACTCTTATTTTGAGGGATTCATATATTTTTGCATAAAAGAAGGACTTCAGACTATGAAAATTTTCTTCTTGTTAATACAGCATATTATTTTCAGCTACATGGATCTTTACCTGATTTTCGGGATAATGTTCTCTTTACGCTGCCCTGCAGTATGTTTCCATATTCCCTGTTATGTTTGTTGTTGTTGTCTATTCCTGAGAGAGCTATTAAGATTCATTACCTACCATGTGTCATAGATGGTCATGTGGTTTTCTTCCTTGGCTGTGCTAGCAATGTGGCGCTGTTGACTGTAAATCTGGAGGCCAGGGCTATCTACCTCACTTTCCACTCAGTTTCCAGTCGAGCTGGCATGTATGTTAAACACTCCTGCTATGCTAAGATAGGATTCTCTCTAGCACTTTGGATGGAATGGTATCTAGTTCATTATTTTAAAGAACTCTTCTAGATTCCATCCCTTCCCACTGCATTTTCCTGGTGACAGGTCTATTTCCCACAGTATGTCACAGTACCACCCCAAACCACTACCCACTTCATGCCTGTTGCTTCCTGAGAGTTTCTTTCTTGTCTAGCTCTAGAAAGATTGCAGTCTGAATAGAGATAGCATGATTCCTTTTAAAGCTGCAACTGAGCAGTATAGACTTTTTTCTGGTCGGGACAGTCTTTGGGTTTCTGAGCCAGACCATGCAGAGCATAAGGGGAATATACGTGTCTTTCTACCTTGCTCTAAATCATTGGGTCTTTTTTATTTGATGACATAAAGAATGTATAAGCCACTGGATTTGTTTTTTTAAAGAATATATTGGGTATTTCCTTTACAGTGATTCTAACTAAATATTAAAACCTGTCTATTATAGACAGTGGAATATAAAAAAGTATAAAATAAAGATAAGAATTCAGAACACTTACAACTAGATGGGTAAATAAAATATACATAAATAAGAGAACATTTTAAGACAGCTGATATTAAATACTGAATAAATGCCGTAAATCGTGAATGCTGCAAGAGCTAAGCATAATGGAGGAATTTTAAAATTGTGTTTGGGGAGGGCAAAACTTTACAGATTTCTATCAGTTGGATATGTGTGATGTGTTCAGTCGACATGAGTATCATATCTTGGCTGAAGCAAAGAATAATAGGAGATAATATTGGAACTGTAAGTAAGAACCACATTGTAAAGGGTGTGATCTTAGACTTTCAGGAATCAGCATCATTTTGGAGTAAAAAGGATTGCAATAAGGAGTTTTAGGAAAATTAAACTGATAACTATGTATGGAATGAATAAGAAATGAGATCACATAAAGTTAGGGAGAGCTGTTGGGAGACTGACAAGACTCTAGGTATGAAGTCAGTCTGTACATCCTTTTAGTAAGTAGTTACTGAACACACACTCTATTTGGCACTGACACTACAGAGGAAAGTAAAGTGTGTTTTCCGCCTTTCAAGAGATCATAGTATACTCAGGAAAGCATACATGTACACCAGAAATTCTAGTAAAAAGTGATAATTATTATAATGGGAGCATATACAGAGTTATTTGGAGTCACAGGTTTTGAAGGCATTACTTATAGCCAAGAGATCAAGTAAAGCTTCTTATGAGCAACACTGAAATTGGAAATTGTAATATGAGTAAGAATTCACTAGAAAGTAAGCAGAGGGCATTCCAAGCAAAAACAAAATGTGGGATGAAGAGCTGGATTAGAGTAGTGGCAACAATGTGGCAGAGAGAGAGAGAGAGAGAGAGAGAGAGAGAGAGAGAGAGAGAGAGAGAGAGAGAAGGATGAAGAGGAAAGAAGGGAGGAAGAGAGAGGGATGGAGGGAGAGAGAGAAGGAGAGAGGGAGAAGGGGAGGGAGAGAGAGAAGGAGAAAGAAGTAAATGACTCTATATAGTATGTCATTATACAAAAAGTAGATGTCACTTTAATATGCTCAAGTTGAATGTTTGGCAAAATGTCCCCTACCTGCAGTCTCAATATCCTCTGAAGACTTGTTAGAGATGTAAATTCTCAGACTCCTCAAACCTCCTGAATCAGAAACTCTGGGAGTGGGACCCAGACATCTGCATTTTAGCAAGCCTTCTAGATGGTTCTGATATATAAAGTTTGAGTACCTTTTCTCTAACCATTTAAGATCTAATTACCAGGACAGTATTTGCATATAAAACATTTAGAACATACAAGAAAGCATGCAAGTAAGTGCCATTAACTGTAACAAAAGCCTAGAGAATTAGGGGGAGATAGCCTAGTCAAGGAAAGCCTCATGGAAAAGATGGACTTGAACACTTAAAAGATTTTGTCATGTATAGATGATTTTCCACACCAAATGAACCTTTATACAGAAGTAGACTGACAGTTGGAAGAAGTTAGGATCATAAATATCTTAAGGTGCTGTCGCTGGGTATGATCCTGCTAATTCCTTCCTTGCAGTCATCCTGCAGTTTTTAGTAGGGATGCAATTTGTACTGAGCACCAGCATTGAAGATTTGCATGATGGTTTTAGAGAAGAGAAGGATCACTGAAGCCAAGGTGGACTTGTTAAGGAAGTAATTAGAATTGCCTTTTTCCTGATTTGTGGAAAATACTATGTATCTTTTCATCTCTTATTGGAACAATTTTCAGCGTTCTCTAAGGATCCTAGAATAAAGGGCAATATAACGATGTTAAATTGTACCAATATCACTTTTATTAACATGGGTTCTACTAAGTAAGCATGCTGTTACATACATGGTTTTAAGGATACAGTCATTGTTCAGTAAATACTTATTTCTGTCAACTAATTGAAAGGTAAGATTTATGATTTATTGAGAGCCTGTTACTATTTGTATTGACAAATTTCCTGGGTAACCCAAAGCCAGGAAATTGTTGGTTTGTATCTTATCATAGTTTTTCTTAAACATCTTTAATTATTCCTAATATCAAGATTCATAAAAAATAATATTTTTATTATTTCTTTTTAAAACATTTCTTTAACATTAATGTCAATATTCAGAAAAAATAGTAAATAATTGTTAACATTTATTGAGCAATTTATGGTGTTCTAAATATAATTCTAAGTGCTTCATGTGTATTTACTCATTTAATCCCAACAGTAACCCAGGAGTTGAATTCTATTCTTATCCCCATTTCACATATGAGGTAATAAGGTAGAGAAGTTAAATAACTTGCCCAAGTCACAGAGCTGACCAATGATGAGGCCAGGATTCTAATGTAGACAGTTTGGCTCTAGAGCTTCGCTC